CCACCTCCAGAACTGAGAAATAAATTTCTGTTGTTTATAAGCTTTCTGGCCTCTGGCATTTAGTTATAGCAGTTTGAATGAAATAAGATCCCTCAGTAAAAAAATTTGAGCACTTCCATACATACGTTTATTTATAAATTGTCATAAATTATGAGCATGACTAGTAATATGATTATACACAATATAATGCACACAAATAGGAAGTTTAAAAATTGTCAAATAAGTAGAAGTGGAAATTCTAATATTTCTTCCTATACTCCAAACGATCTTGTGTGCATGCCCTGCAGTGTACACTCTCCACTGGAAACTAGCACCTCAGAAAGCAGTTTCTGCCTGCATGTCACCAAGTGCCACATTTTATGCTGCAGACAAAAAGTACTTCAGAGTAGAGAAATAAGAGCAAAGCTGGACTGCCAGAACTGGTCAATGAATTGAGTAAAATCCAGAAAACAAAATATATTCAAGTAAATCAAAAAATAAGAGACATTTGCTTTGGGCATTTGTAATAGGCTCTTATAAGGGAGACAAAGAGAACACAGGACAAAAGTGAATATACAGAGGGAAGGGAAACACAAGATTGAAATGTAAACACCACTTCCTCTGGCGACTGTTGCCCTACCCTCAGGTGGGTCTTTGCTGACATCTATAGGCTACAATTTGCCAGATATTTTACTTAAGGATAATAGAATGCATGCTTGTTTTCTTCATCTTTTCAAAAATAAAAGTTTATAATAAAAAGTTTATAAAAGTTTAATAAAAGTTTATAATAAAAAGTTTATAAAAGTTTAGTTTTTAGGCATTCGTTTCTTCTTGTCAGTGACTCTTGGTATTGGAAATGTTTCTCTTTATTACTTTATGGATCAGCTGTCTTGAATTATACTTGAAGTATGACTCATATTTTTAAAAAGATTAATTCAACCAAGTTTTGTGGCAAAGAGACTGCACCTTTGTTGTTCATGTTGTATCTCTGGCACCATGAATAGCTCATGGTGAATATTACAGAATGCCTTCTGAACCATTGAAATATACTCTAAAAATCTCAGAATTGAAAGGAACTCTGTGACAAACAATTTAATAAAGTTAAAACCAACTAACATGCAATGAATTATTATTTTGGTGAAAAAAAGCTTTATATAAATGGCCAAAATTGTCCTCTAAGCAAACCAACAGGGACATCTAAGTTGAAGTTAATACTGATTTATATCTGGAAGACACCTCAGACATAGTCTTTCTTAAACCCTTCTATTGCAGATAAGGAAAAGCTAAGCTTTAGAGACATTCGAAAAATCCTGTGCAATGCCACACCACTTCTTGAGGGGAGTTATTTTAATATGAAACAAATTACGTGTGGTTATTGTTTTTCAGAAGGAATTATTACAGGTTTGTTTGCTTGTTTTTAAGTAACAGGCCTCTCTCTGCTATCTAGAAACTATTCAAACCCTTGTCTTCTTTCTGGAGCAGTTAGTAGGGGTTACTAGGCTTCTTTTCTTTTCTACTCTACCAGAATTTTTGGAGGATGACAACAGCACTTTGGAATAGCTGTTAGTTCTAGGCCCAGAAAACTCCTACTTTTTCTCTATCTTTCTGAATGTCCAGTTTCCCCTTTCTACTGCTTATAAGTTCTGCCTGGTTAGTCATGACGTCATTTACTCTAATTCAAACTATTGAATTTAATTTCTAAAACAATTTAGCGTTTTTTATAAAAAATGATACCTACTTTTTACCAAAAATTCAAGCAATGTAGGGCAAGTATCAAGATAAGAGGGAATAATCACCTTAAATTTCTCCACTGAAACAGCTATTATGAAATTATTCTTATTATTTTAAGGGATGGCTATTATTTCAGACATCTTCCTCTGCCTAGATATAATGAAGAATAGATATATAAATAGATAAAAAGTAAATGGGATGAAAGATTAATTGTTATTCAAAGTTAGTAGGAAAAAAATAAAATAACCTAAAAGAATTATTGAAGTTCAGGTGAATGTTTCTTCACTGTTGATACCAGCTTCTAAATTATTCCTAAAGTTTGAGGAAAATTTACAACAAAAATGAACCTATTGAAACTCTTACAAATATGCCCAAGCCAACATGTACATAAATGTTCATTGCAGCAAAAGTTAATGAAACAGAATAAAAGCAAGTCGAATAAACACACAAACAGTAAAACGACCAAGAAATCAACATCAAGTCTGTCAGAACTGGAAGAGATTAATAAGCTGCGGACAAATCATATGATAGTATGCAATACAACCCTTCAAATGAATGAAGGGGAGCTACGTCTATCAACATGAATAAACATATAATGGAGAAGGAGCAAAAGTTGTAGGAGAATGAATACAGAGTTAGATAACATATTATAAAACTTAAAACTTTATAAAATAACACTTTATAATGTTTCAGGATTTGCAATTGTTTAGTGAAACTTTTAAAACATGCATAGTAATGATAAAACTGACTTTATGCTTGGCAGTTACATCTGGGGAAGGAGAAAAAGAAATGGAAGTGTTCAGGGAAATCAATTGTATTTTAGTCATTGATTTCTTTTAAAAATATTTGAAACAAGGCAAAATATTAAGGTTTAGTAAATTTGGGTATTTGGCCAATGGATGTTCATTAGCCTTTCTTTATGTTTAAAATATTTAACAATAGCCCCGGCCAGTGTGGTTCAGTTGGTGGGAACATCATCCAGTGCACCAGGGGTGTCCCCACATGTGGCCCAGGATGGCTATGAATGAGGCCCAGCACAAAATTGTAAATTTACTTAAAACATTATGAGATTTTTTTTTTGTGGTTACATGTTGCACTGCCACATAAAATAAATGAATATATGCTCTTACTTTTTGTACTGCATGCGTGGCATGCAGTATGTGGCTTCCAGTGTGTTATCCTCTAAGCACAGAAAAGTAGAATTGACACCATCAGACATTACATGTGCTCATGGTGACTTAACAAGGCAGAGATTGTCAATATTTCAACTAACCATTGCAACGTTCGGCATTTAATGTTACTTAGAAGTCACATAAGCATGCTTCTTGGATTGTCAAAGGTACTTCCACACCTCACACATCACCTTCCATGCTTTACAATCAGCCCTCCACCTTGCCCTGCCTCGGCAGCCAAGAGGACTGCAGAAGCACCCAAACCTTGCTTTCTATTTTCCTGTCAATTAATTTTCATAATAAAATTAAATAAAGTCTCTTATCTATTATTGGTTTTTTAATCCCAGCATGACTTCTACAACATCTCAAAGGAAAAAAGAACCCCCCAAAAGAAAAAATTACTGATGAAGGAATATTGTTCAATATGAAGTGGACAGATGGCTACTTTTTTGTTGAGGCAAATAGTGAGGCACTCTGCTTGATTTGTAGGGAATTTGTGTAAGTTTTCAAAGACTATAATTTGAGAAGGCATTATATGCAAAAATGTGCTGCCAAATTCAGTGCATATGAAGAATTATGTCATAATGACAAAATAGTGGAACTGGAAAAAAGTCTGTCTTCTCAACAAAGAAATTTTTTAAATTTTTATTTATTTTTAGAGAAGGGGAAGGGAAGGACAAAGAGAGGGAGAGAAACATCAATGTGTGGTTGCATCTCGCACCCCCACCTGGGGACCTGGCCTGCAACCCAGGCATGTGTCCTGAACTGGGAATCAAACTGGAGACCCTTTGGTTCACAGACCAGCTCTCAAACCACTGAGCCACACCAGCCAGGTCAACAAAAATATTTTCAAAAAATATAACTTAGATGGATTCCATTGTAAAAGCTAGTTATGTGGTAGCATATTTAACAGGGAAAAAAAATCAAAACCATTTACTGATGGTGAGTATTAAGCAATGTATAGAAAGCATGGCAGATGTAATTTGCCCTGAAAAAAAGGGGGATATTTCTAAAATCAGTTTGTCTCACCAGACTATAGCCAGGAGAACTGAAGAATATCTATCAAAAGAAGTTCGGAGAGTAAAGCTGTTATTTTAAAGTTTTATGCTTTGGCAATGGATGATAGAACTGATGCTACAGATACAGTTCAACTTGCCATTTTTAATCGCAGTATTGATGATGAATATAAAGTCACTGAAGAAATGGCTTCTTTAGTGCCATTAAAAGATATACCTAAATCTAGAGATTTATATGAGGCAATAAAAATGTTAAAGTGATTTTCTTTGTCCATTGTCAACATATCTGGTATAGTTACTGATGGTGTCCCAGCAATGGCAGGTAAAAGAGAGGGACTTGTAAAAGTAATAGAACACGATGCAATTGCTACCCAAAACTCATGTTTGATGAAGTACCACTGCATAATACATCAAGAAAATTTATGCGTAAAAGCTTTAAAAAAATGCACAAACCCAGAAGCCACACACCGCAGTAAAACTGAGGCTACTTATGCATACAAATAGCAAAAGCTTATGTTCATTTATTTTATGTGACATTGCAACACATAATCACAGAAAAATCTCATAATGTTTTAAGTAAATTTACAATTTTGTGTTGGGCTGCATTCATGACCATTTTTGGGGGGGGACGGTTCTCATTTATTAAGATTTAATTTTGCATACATTTCTTTAATTAGTCAAGCAAAGCCAAGTATATCTTTAATTTTACAAAACAGCAGACTAAGATACAGGAATCCTAGGATAACCATCTTGTACATTTTTTCTCTATTTCCTGATCTCATCTATTTTATTGCTGAGCACTTTTACATGATTAATTCCTATTCCTATGCCATGTTATCTTGCTCCAGATCACAAAATGAGATGGAAGGTTTCCTAGTTTGTTACACGGAACAGCAAAATTCTTATCCTCAAACCTGTTAAACAGTACTAAATACATGACCAATGTTATTCGTGAACCTAAACTCTGAAGCTAATCTTTGAGGAGAAAGAACATTTGAAGCATACTAAAAAGAAAGAAAAAGGTGAAATCTGCAATTCAACACTCCACTACTTAGAACCTTGACTTCCCTCTTCAAATACAGTGGAGAAACTTCCTCAGACTTTACTCAGGACAGGAGAAGCTGTTGGATGTGACACTGGAGCTCTCACCAGCCATGGTGGTAGTACCATCACTGGTGGCGGTGCTGGCCTCAGCTCTCTCTCTCTCATCTCTCAAAGCATCCTCATACCAGCGGGGGAAGGCAGTGGGATCAGTCCCAGTGACCCTGGTGAAAAACTCCAGGACTTTCATCTTGGTGGTTTCAGCATAGGCTCTTGGACCCCACAGGAACTCGTAGCGTGGAGGATCACTGTTGGGCACCTGCTGGCACTCCAGGTATTTTTCCTGCACTAAATCGTTGGTCATGAGCTTCCTGGGTTCCCCATAGTTGAAATCCTCCCTCCCAGCATACAGCCCAATCATATTCAGCACTTCCCAGATTCTCTCTTCTGGGGCACGGTTACCCTCCATGAAGATTACGCCCAAGATTAGTATCAGGAAGCCAGTCTTGGGCATGCCCTGGTTGTCACTGACTAGCCCATCATAGGTAAGGTCTAGTATTTTGACCAACACATAGGAGTGGCTGGTGGGGTCCACTTCCTTCACTTCAATGCCAAAGACAACCACCATGCACTCACAGACTTTCTGGAAGATCTCAGGGAAGTGATCCTTGTGCTCTTTGATGACTCTCTTCAGCATTTCTGCCTTTGGGACAGGCTCCTTTGTTAAATACTTGCTACTCAGGTATTTTACCAATTCAGCCACCTTCTTTTGTAGCCCTTCAGCATACAAGGACTCAGGATTTGGTGGAGCCTGCTAGGTGCCTGGACCCTCTTGCCTGCTGGAGCCCTCATTTGATTTGCTCGAGGGAATGGCTTTGATGGCAGCCGGGGAGGAGCAGGCTCCCTGGGAACTCTGGGGAACACTTGATATTCCAGCAGCAAGCGTGTTTGGAGTCTCCTGGATCAAAGGAGAAAGAGAGGAGGAGGAAGCTTCCTCCTCAGTTACAGAAACCTGTGCAGCTACCGGGCCTGGAGACTTTCTTTGGGCCTGAAGGCTTCTTTAGGCTTTTGGCACTGACTTTACACTGCCAGGCATGATGACTTGTGTTGGGAGCAGCAGGCAGGAGTGTGAGCCGGAAGTGGGTGATGGGGCTAATGGCCTTAAGGGATAGCAGGGTTCACGTACTCTCTCCTCCCTCTGCTGGTCTGAATCCAGTCTGAAGATTCTGGTCCCTCAGACTCCGGAGGCCAGAAGTTCACGTATGTCACTTCCTCGCACTCTGCCTGTGGTCTGCAAGAATGGCTGAAGGGGGATTCATTCATGACCATTTTTAAGTGATCATGCAAATCATCATCAAGACTGTGAATTTGAAAAGAGCCAAGGGATTAAATCATCACAAATTTCAGAAATTCCTTAAAAGTATTGATGCTCACTATGGCGACATCATTTACTTTTTGGAAGTAAGATAGCTAAGTCAAGGCCAAATGTTGAAAAGATCTTACGATTTGCGACATGTTATCAAGTTGTTTATGGTAAAAAACAAATTTGTGCTGGAACTTGATGATGAAAACTGGCTTACAGATTTAGTATCTTTAGTGGATTTAACCACTCATTTAAATGAGTTAAACATGCATCTTCAAGGTGAAAACTGATGTATCAATACCATACTTCAAACCATAACAGCATTCCAGATGAAACTGAAATTATGGCAAGATCAAATTGAGGCAAACAATTTTATGCATTTTGATATTTGGCTAAACATAGCTCATAGTTAACAGTGAAAAATAGGCAGCCCTACTTTTCAATTTGATACAAGAATTTGAAAACAGACTTCAAGATTTCTGGGAAAATAATCAATATTTTGCTATATTTGTGACTCCATTTTCAGTCAGCATAAATATGTTACCTGCCAATTTTCAAATGGAATGCATAGAGCTGCAATCTAACATTCAGCTTGAAGAAAACTTGATCCTGTCTATTTACTGGACTTTTATAAGTCCTATCTTCCCACAGACAAATTTCCCTTGCTTCACAATCGTGCCTTATTCATGTCATTGTTTTTTGGCAGCACCTACATTTGCACATAAATATTTTCAAGCATGAAACACATTCAGAGTAAAATTAGAACCAAAATATCTGATGAGCACCTTGAGAACTCACTGAGAGTTGCAGCTACTTCTATCAAGCCAGATGTTGATGCACTAGTTTCTCAAATACAATGTCAAACATCCCGCTAGTTTTATGTTGTTCTCTTTTATTTTATTTTTAAAATAAAAATATTTTTAAAATTCAATGACATTTTATTACTTAGATGTGTATATTTTCTATATTAGTGATCACAAACTTGGGGCCTGTTGGATGATTTTAAAAGATTATCGAAAGAGCCACTGTATAATTAGGGTTATTATGTGAGGACTCTTTTTCTTATCTGTGGTGGTGGATATCATGAAAATTATGCACAGATCTTCTTTTTGCTCATCAGTTTATGTTAGTGTTTGTATATTTAATGTGTGGCCCAAGACAATTTTTCTTCTTCCAGTGTGGCCCAGAGACACCAAAAGGTAGACACCCCTGCCATACACCAAAAGGCTGGGAGTTTGATCCATGGTTAGTGAGCTTATGGGAGGGAACCAACTGATATTCCTCTTTCACATTGGTTTTTCTCTAACTCTCTCTCTCTCCTCTCCTTTCTCTTTGAAATAAATAAACATTTTTAAAATATTTAACAATAAAATACATTAAATTTTTTAAAATCATAAAGAAATTGGCAACTAATGGATTTTTTAAAATATTAGGCATATAAGCAATTATTGTTATTTGTCCAAAGAACTAGACATAGTTCTGTTGAATTTTAACAGAATTAATTAATTGATTCTATTATCTGTAAATGGATTATGAGAATAAGAAGTTTGATCAGAAAAGCAGATATCCTATAATTAGCATGAGGGACCTAGAATATATTTTGTGCAGTTACAATTATTAAACATTGCCTTTTTTATTTTACTTTTTAAAAGATTTTATTTATTTATTTTTAGAGAGGGGAAGAGAGTGAGAAAGAGAGGGAAACATCAATGTGTGGTTGCCTCTCAAGCACCTCCTACTGGGGACCAGGCCTGCAACCCAGTCATGTTCCCTGACTGGGAATTGAATCGGCAGCCCATTGGTTCACAGGCTGGCACTCAGTCCACTGAACCATACCAGCCAGGGCAATAGTAAACATTTCTAATATACAGAAAATACAGGGAGCAATGGCTGTGGCCGTGACCCACTACTGAAGTATAGTTTGCTGTTTGCTCCTCTTTTCCCTCCTCAAAGCAATTGCTTGTTTAAACTCAGTGTATGTCATTCAATGTGTTCTGAGAGTTGTCCTTGCAAAAGATGCCCATTTAGTTTATAGTTACACAATATTATATTGCATTAATACAGCATAATCTCATGTATTTGTTTGTCCACTGATGGACAGCCCCAACTATAAACAACCTGCAACAAGCACCCCCTAGGCATACTTCCTATGTGTAAATATGAGGGATTCTTTAGTGCTCTGGGACATATAAATAGAATTCTTGGGTTGTAGCATATTTGCACCTTCAAATTTATTCAGCATTGTATGTGTGAAACACATAGTTGAAATAAGAAAGAAAATTAACCCTTCTGCCAAGAGTGTGTGCAAGTCCCCATTTCTCCACATCTCTCCATTAGCACTTGGTGCAATCAGGCTGAGATAATAGTTATTCTTGTGCACCCTCTTCCAACTGCTTTACTCTTTCACATTCAGGCCTTTAATTCATTTAAAATTTATTTTTGTGACAGTGAGAGATAGGAATCTGATTCCCATGCTCCTTCCAACACATGGAGTTAACCAGTTTTCTAAGCACCATTAACTAATATGTCTAGCAGTTCTCAAAGTGTGGTCAAACGATCCCTGGGAAAGAGAGCTCCCTGGGATCCTTTTAGAGGACCTACAAGGTCAAAACTATCTATAATACTAAGATGTTATTTGCCTTTTCACTTTCATTCCCATCAGTGGACAGCAGAGTTCTCCAAAGGCTATGGTGACGTGTAAAGACATCACTGTTCTAACAATTAATGGATTGTGTGCTGTGTATTGTATTGCCTAGAATTCTTTAAGGTAATGAATTTAGGGCATAAATATGCACATTTTTAGCAGTTCATTTAGTTCTTCAGTACTTCAACTGTGCTCTAACCAGCTCTCTTCAGTTATATCTGCTATAGTCTCTGCAATTTCATTATCTCCTAAGAAACCATTATCTTTAAACATTTTGTTTACTTACTTTTAAAGAGACAGGAAGGGAGAAAGAACGGGAGAAAAACATAAACTGATGTGTGAGAGAGACATGAATCGGTTGCCACTTGCACACCCCGAACTGGTGACCTTTTTGGTTTGCAGGCCAGCACTCAATTCACTCAGCCATGCCAGCCAGGGCAAATACCATTATCTTTAAATTCCTGAGCTTTCCTGCTTTTATAAAGAATGCAAGGATTAAGTTTATCTTGTTTTGCAACAGTATTAAAATATTTTCAAAAACATTTTTGATTTTCAAATTTTATGTGAAATGTATTCTTTTAGAATTGAATAGTATTTTATTCTAAGATAAAAGAAAGTTTGTTTATATTTTCTTGTATTTAAGAATGCATTGTGGGCTTCAAAAGGGGAGATTAGAAGACATTTTCTAAAATTCCAGTCAAGATGAAAACGTAGGTAAACACGGCTCACCTCCTTGCATAACCACAGCAAAATTACAACTAAATTACAAATCAAGCATCACACAGAATCATCAGAAATTGAGTTGAATGAAAGTCCAACAGCTATGGAACTAAAGAAATGACATCAATCCAGAAGGATAGGCAATGTGGGGATGTGGAGATGTGGTATGGACAGGTCCCCACACCCACATGTGGTGGCTACAACTTTGGGAAGAATATCTCAGGAGAGAGGTGTTCCCAGCCCCACACCAGGTCCCCTAGCCAAGAGTTCCAGTGCCAGAAAGATAAGTCCCCATAACTTCAGGCTGTAAAATCCAGCACTTTTTGAGTTGGTGAAAAAAATTACTTGACTCCCTGGCAGTCCCTCTTAAAGTGCCCACACCAAACTTACTCAGATGCACTCTCTCTGAGTTTCAGTACCAACCAGGGTAGCATCTTGAAAGGCACTAGTGGCTTATGGGGAGGAACTGAAGTGTCTAGCATCAGGGCAAGAGCTGACGGATAGCTCTATCCTAGGCAGAAAGGTGGGCAGAAGAAATTGTGCCTTTTCTGAGCTCTCCTCCCATAGAGCCACAGAACAGGCAGGTGGATGCCATGTCTGAGACTCCATTAACCTGGCTTACACTATTTTCTCTGCCCTCGTGTTTACCTGAGGCTCCATCCCACCCAATTATGGCCTTCCCCCAGCCCTCCTACCTCTGGCTAAGCAGCTCCAGGCTTGGCACTAGCAGCAGCCACCTTTGCATCACCTGGAAACCTCCAGGCCTAGTACAAGTAGCAACCATCTGCAGGTTGCTTTGTAGCTCACGCCCGATGGCTGACACTAAGTCAGGTGGCTGATCCTGACCTGTACCACCCAGGAGACCCCAGAGCCTGTGCACATAGTGGACAGCTACAAATCACACTGGAGCATCCCCACCCTGCCCCTGCAAAACTGATTCTCCACAGAGGGTAGAGATTGGTGGTCAGTACCTGAAGGTGACTGGCCTGGGTAAATCCCTCCCATTGACCTGCCAACAGCAATCAAGGCTCAACTACCAGAGAAGGGTGTACTTAGCCCACACAGAGGGTACACCTCAAGTATCCAGCTTTGGGGATAGGGGAGGCTGTCTCACTGGACCCTACAAGCCACGTTACTAACAGGGAGTCATAGCAGCTCTACCTATTAACACAGAAACAAACACAAAGAGGCTGCCAAAATGAGGAAACAAAGAAACATGGCTCAAATGAAAGAACAGATGAAAACTCCAGAAAAAGAATTAAACAAAATGGAGATGAGCATTCTATCAGACACAGAATTCAAAACGGTGGTTATATGGATGCTCAAGAAACGCAGTGGGTACTTCAACAACATAAAAAAGAGCCAGGCAGAATGAAGGATATACCAATAGAAATGAACAATTTACAGGGAATCAACAGGAGAGTGGATGAAGCCGATAATCAAATCAATGTTTTGGAACATAAGGAAGCAAAAGGAATAAAACCCCAAACAAACAAACAAACAAAAAGAAAACAAGCAGCAGCAGCAGAAGAAAGAATTAAAAAAATGAGGATAGTATAAAGAGTCTCTGGGACAGCTACAAGTATACTGATATTCCCCTCATAGGGGTGAGAGAAAGAGAAGAGAAAGAGCAAGAAATTGGAAATATATTTGAAAAATTCATGAAAGAAAACTTCCCTAATTTGGCAAAGGAAATAGATATGCAAGTCCAGGAAGCACAGAGTCCCAAATAAGATGGATGCAAACAGGTCCACACCAAGACACATCATAATTAAAATGAGAAAGGTTAAAGATAAAAAGAGAATCTTAAAAGCAGCAAGAGAAAAGCAGTTACCTACAGGGGAGTACCCGTAAGATTATCAGCTGATTTCTCAAAAGAAACTTTGCAGGCAAGAAGAGATTGGCAAGAAATATTTAAAGTCATGAAGAGCAAGGACCTACAACCAAGATTGCTCTACCCAGCAAAGCTATCATTTAGAATCAAAGGGCAGATAAAGAGCTTCCCAAACAAGAAAAAGCTAAAGGAGTTCATCATCAGCAAACAATTACTATATGAAATGTTAAGGGACTTATTTAAGAAAAAGAAGATCAAAGCTATGAATAATAAAATGGCAATAAGCCCATACCTATTGAGGACTACCAGTCAAGATGGAGACGCAGGTAGATACACTTTGCCTGCTCTCACAACCAAAAGAAGGACAACAAACCTAAAACCAAAAAAACCCCAGAACTGCCAGAAAATCATACTGTATGGGTATTCCACAACCAAGGAGTTAAAGAAGAAACATTCAACCCTGGCTGGTGTAGCTCAGTGGATTGAGTGCTGGTCTGTGAACCAAAGGGTTGCCGGTTCAATTCTCAGTCAGGGCACATGTCTGGGCTGCTGGCCAGGTCCCCAGTTGGGGGTGTGTGAGAGGCAACCACACAATGATGTTTCTCTCCCCCTCTTTCTTCTTTCCTTCCCCTCTTTAAATAAATAAATAAATAAATAACATCTTTTTAAAAAAATAAAGAAGAAAACACATTCATCCAGACTGGTAGGAGGGTTGGAGACAGGCAGCTGGGGAGGAGAGGATGTATGGCAAAGCGGCAGCTGGCAGACTAGTCAGTCCCACATTTGCATGCGGATAAACCAGGAGGAACCACTGGGGAGCAAGACAGACCGCACAACCCAGGGTGCCAGCACAAGGAAAGAAAGCCTCAAAACCTCTGGCTATAAAGAACCTGTGGGGGTTGTGGTGGCAGGATAAACTCCCAGCCTCACAAGAGAGTTCGTCGGAGAGATCCACAGGATCCTGGAGTGTACACAAACCCACCCACTTGGTAATCAGCACCAGAAGGGTCCAATTTGCTTGCAGATAGCAGGGGAAGTGACTGAAAGCTGGCCAAGAGCCAAGTAGGTGTCATTGTTCCTTCTCTGGGTCCTCCCCCACATACAGAGCCACAACACAGCAATGGGAGTTGCCCCACCCTGGTGAATACCTATGGCCCCGCTCCTTACAATGTAACAGGAGCTCTAAGACAAAGAAATATGGCACAAATAAAAGAACAGATCAAAACTCCAGGAAAAAAATACAACTAAGTAATAAAGAGATAGCCAACCTATCAAATGCAGAGTTTAAAACACTGGTAGTCAGGATGCTCACTGAATTGGTTGAGTATGGTCGCAAAATAGGGGAAAAAAATGAAGGCTATGCAAAGAGAAATAAAGAAAAATATACAGGGAACCAACAGTGAAGGGAGGCAAACTAGGATTCAAATCAACAACTTGGAGCAGAAGGAAGAAATAAACATTCAACCAGAACAGAATGAAGAGACAAGAATTCAAAAAAATAAAAAGAGTCTTTGAAACCTCTAGGACAACTTGAAACATTCCAACATCTGAATTATAGGGGTGCCAGAAGGAGATGAGGAAGAGCAAGAAATTGAAAACTTATTTGAAAAAATAATGAAGGAGAACTTCCCCAATCTGCCAAAGCAAATATACTTCCAGGAGATCCAGGAAGCTCAGAGTCCCAAAGAAGTTAGACCCAAGGAAGCACACACCAAGGCACATCATAATTACATTACTCAAGATTAAAGATAAGGAGAGAATCTTAAAAGCAGCAAGTGAAAAGGAGACAGTTACCTACAAAGGAGTTCCCAGAAGACTAGCAGCTGATTTCTCAAAAGAAACCTTACAGGTAAGAATGGGCTGGCAAGAAGTATTCAAAGTCATGAAAGGCAAGGACCTACATCCAAGATTACTTTATCCAGCAAAGCTATCATTGGGAATGGAAGAGCAGATGAAGTGCTTCCCAGATAAGGTAAAGTTAAAGGAGTTCATCACCACCAAGCCCTTATTATACAAAATGTTAAAGGAACTTATCTAAGAAAAAGAAGATCAAAATTATGAACAGTAAAATGACAACAAACTCTCAACTATCAACAACTAAATCTAAAGAAAATAAAAAACAAAAACAAATTAAGCAAACAACTAAAACAGGAACAGAATCACAGAAATGGAGATCACATGGAGGATTATCAGTGGGAAGTGGAAAGGGGGAGAATGGGGGAAAAGGTACAGGGAATAAGAAGCATAAATGGTAGGTCAAAATAGACAAGGGGAGGTCAAAAAGAGTATAGGAAATGGAGAAGCCAAAGAACTTGTATGTATGATCCAGGGATCATAAACTGGGGGAGGGAGATGCTAATGGGAGGAGGCTCAGGCCAGAGGGGAACAAAAGGGAGAATAAAAATGGGACAACTGTAACAGCATAATCAATAAAATATCTTTAAAAAACACATACCTATGAACAATTGAACCTAAAAACCAAACTAAGCGAAAAAGAACAGAGACAAAATCATGGATCCAGAGAGATTTTTGATGGTTGCCAGATGGGAGGCAGGAGACGGAGAATGGGTGATGAGGTGAGGGGATTAAGAAGTAGAAATAGGTAGTTACATTATAGCCATGGGGATGTAAAGTATAATGTAAGAAATGGAGTAGCCAAAGAACTTATATGCATGACCCATGGACATGAACAAAGGTGGGGGGATGAGCTGAGGGGAGTTGGGGGTGCTGGGTGGGAGGGACAAAAGGGGAAAATCTAGGATAACTGTAACAACACAATCAATAAAATATTTTTTTAATTTAAAAAAAATTTTAAGAAGACATTTTCTCAACCCATGTGTATGTTGCCTGTGTCTGAAGACACTGAAAAAGATGCAATTGATGCATCAGCAAGTTCTCTAACTCTGGAAAGGAGAAATATGTTCTGAAGAAATTGGGCAGAACTTGGAATATAAAAACATGTCTAAAGCTGTCTTTCCTCCAACTTTATAGATGTTAACAATTTATCTTATTGTGCCTTATGAAGAGAAAATTAAAAAAAAACTAATACGATTCCAATTAAGTTGCAGCATCGTTTTGGGTCCAGTCATTCAGGTTTCAAAGAAAAAGGAATTGACAATTTTATATGCAGATATGACAGACTCTTTAAACGCCTCCTACACAATAAGTTGTTGTATAGCATTGTCTGGAGGAGCCCCTACAATGGTAGAGAAAGTAAGAGAAAGTAAGAAAGCTTCATCCTGGTGCACTGCTGAATGCCTGCTGGATGGGAGGTCAGGAGGGGAGAGCATTTGCTGCCACTTGCTAACCATACAGCAACCTGTCAAACTGGAGACCTACCTGCAAACACAGAGACTGAGTTAATGCTGCATCTGAAAAATGTACCTTTACCTTAGGAAAGGCACAATCTCTAGATGTGCCTTGACATGCTGTTTTGCTTGCGCTGATTTGTCATCAGTGCCAACTAGTTGATGAAGATCTTCCTCTGTGGATGCTTGGCGACAACCACAGGGGTGTTGAAACAGTAACAGCGTTGTATAACCTTTTCTGAATCTCACGGGATTTTTCCTGTAAAAACCGTGTTTTCATTTGTGCTGATGGTGCAAAAACAAGGTTGGGTAATAAGACTCCAGAGAATGGCATCGACTATATCGGTGGTCATTGTATTTTTTACCACAACATCCTCACCGTTTTTAGTCAGTTTCAGTAGAGAATGTCCTTGATGAAGCACTAAGAAGTATTGTTATTAAACCTCAACTCTTGAGTACATTTAAAGAGTCATTCTGTGATGCGGTAAGAAGTACCCAGGTGGCACTTCTGCTGCACATTGCGAAGTGGTGGCTACTAGGAAAACACTTTGCGTTGCAAGAGAAACTAGCTGCCTTTTCCCTGGAACACATTTTTTTTTTTCCACTTGGAAAAACAAACGACTGACAGAAAACTGGTTATTCAGACTTGGGAGTTTGGCAGCATTTTCTTGAAAATGAAGGAAAGCAACTGATGTATCTGTTGTCAATAGCAACATTTAAGCTTTCCAGTACAAATCAGAATTTTGGTTAGTTTAGACCTGTTACTCTGTGATCCCAAAAAACTTTTCAGATGACATCAGAGGTAATATTAATGAATGTGATTTTTGATATTGTATGAAGTATTAGCATTTAAATATTTGTAATTCAGTGACCTGATATTTTCTAATGACCAACGCATGATGTTACAGAATTGTGCAGGTGAAGTATCAAACTGCAGGACAAGCCAATAGATTTTAATGACTTCCTGTCATTTATCCCTTGAACCAGAAACTTTAGATTCACCCTAGATTCTCTCTCTCCTACCTCTTCATTTTATTACTCAGTATTCAGTGTAAATTCCACCTCCCAGGCAACCTTAACTAAATCCTCTCATCTTCATCCCTACTATATTACTGATGCCTTCAGTCAGAGCTTTGGTAATTTTACTCTTTTATAACAATTGTCAAATCTCTATCACAGCCCCTGAGGCATTTCTTGACCCTGCCACTGCCTACCTCTCTCCTTGTTTCCTTTTATTCTCCAGTAGGCTGATCTAATTACTGTTCCTTATTAAAAACATGCTGATTCATGACTCTCTGCCTTTACATTGTGAGGTTTTCTCAGCCTGGAATGTCCCTCTTTTTCTGCCTACTTATAAAATTCAGGTAATATCTATCAAAATTCCATTCAGATGTCTCTTTCTCCAGGAAGTTTTTCTTAACCTGACTCACACCAGTATGAGTTAATCACTTAATTTTTCTGGATTACCTTGTATTTTTTTCTGTTGTAGTACTTCCCATTCTGTACTGTGTCAGCTGTCTTTGGAATTCTTGTTATGGAATTACCATTTGGTTTGATGATGTTTACCTATATTAAGCAATCCCATAAGAAGCCTGTGAAACTCTCTGTTGGGTTCCTTAAAATAATATCATTGGGAGATTATTCATTTAATTACTAGGTTTCTTTTTTTAGAGACTTAAGAAATATAGTTCTCGCCCTGGTTGTTGTGGTTCAGTGGATTGAGTGCCGGCCTGTGAACCAAAGGATTTCCAGTTCAATTCCCAGTCAGGACACATGCCTGGGTTGCAGGCCAAGTCCCCAGTAGGGGGTGCGCAAGAGGCAACCACACATTGATGTTTCTCTTCCTCTCTTTCTCCCTCCCCTCTAAAAGTAAATAAGTAAAATCTTTTAAAAAAAGAAATATATTTCTGGTCTTATCACCATATTTGTTATTCTTTGAATTTGTTTTATACGGTAGCCACTATTAACACCTTTTTGAGCTGGTTGATTTCAAGTCAAAACTGTGGCCCACCTCTAGCAAATCTAAGATTTTGTTATCTATAATGAGCCTCATTTTAGACTCTAGTAAAGAGTCTTGCTTCATGAGAACTGAAGTCATGCACAGTCAGTTTCCCCATATTCATAGAGAACTGGGAAGCAGTATGAGAAACACTGATGTGCAGAACCTGCAGCCTGAGCAGGTTGTTTGTAAATTTCTGTACAACTGTTGTATCTGGAGGATAGATAGGTGGAGGATGCTTTGTGCTTGAGAAGGTTAGGGAAGCCATATGATTGAGTTTTCTCTTCTAATATATGCATTATTTTCTCACTAGAAAGGTGTCATTGGATACTTTTCAACTTCCCCAAGAACCTAATTATTTCTTCCATTGTTTGAAATGACAAATGTTCCCATTCCTGAGTAAAAACAGGGGGTAATTGAAAAGTAAGGTATCCAAGAGGATCTAGAACCCCAAACTCCAGCTGTCTGGCTAGTGCAGAAGATGCACATTTTTTGATAAAAGAAAAGGACCCTGGGAAGATGACCAGGTGTACAGTTTGTGGAGAAAATGTGGATTAGCTTGTATGTCTTCAGAGTAAGAAATTTAAAGGTCTGGAGTCTGTTGTTTGTTTTTCAGGGACTGGTATGACTGTAATATAGATATTAAAGGAAACGTACTTCCTTTGGAAGGTGCCCCTAAATTAGAATGAGGTTATCAGATGGAGGATATTAGGAAGTAAAAACCAATGTCTTTCATGTTCAATGAAGGACATATTTTTATTGATCTCAAGAGATTATTATTATTTTTAAAGGTTTTATTTATTTATTTTTAGAGAAGGGAAAGGGAAGGAGAAAGAGAGGAGAGAAATATCAATGTGTGGTTGCCTATTGCACGCCCCCCTACTGGGGACCTGACCCGCAACCCAGGCTTGTGCCTTGACTGGGAGTCGAACCAGCGACCCTTTAGTTCACAGGCTAGCACACAATCCATTGAGCCAAACCAGCCAAGGCTCAAGAGATTATTATTAATTTATATGACTCCAAAGCAGGAGTCTCAAATATACCCCAGGGAATAAAGAAATTAACCCAACATACCTAATGCTTTAAATGTTCATAACATTTAAGAAAAATTCTAGGCTGGGATAAAAATCAAAGTACAGTATCAGAGAAATTGGGTTCCACTGCACCCTGTATTTAAGAGAATGCAGAGGAAAATTCCAATCTGTTACTTACATAATAAAGCTAAGGAAGTTACAGAAGTTAGCCTTCAGAAGATGGAACAGTTCAGTGATTTTCTGCTTGGAAAAATTGCTTTAAAAATTAACAAGTGTATATTTATTATAAAACCATGTCTCAAAAGTAGTCCCATTTGTTTATTTTTTTTCTTTTGTTTCCCTTGTCTGGGGAAATATATCCAATAAAATATTGCTACCAGCAATGTTTGAGATTTTGCAGCCTATGTTTTTTTCTGTGATTTTTATGGTTTTGGGTCTAACATTTAAGTCTTTGATTCATTTTGAATTTATTCTTGTGTGTGGTATAAGAAGGTGGTTGTCTAGTTTCATTTTTCTGCATGCATCTGTCCAATTTTCCCAACACCATGTATTGAATAAACTATCTTTAGCCCATTGTATGTGCTTGCTTTCTCTGTTGAATATTAATTGACTATAAAGATCTAGACTTATTTCTGGGCTCGCTATTCTGTTCCATTGATCTATGTGTCTGATTTTATGCCAGTACCATGCTGCTTTGATTTCTATGGCCTTCTAGTATAGTTTGATATTAGGTATCATGATTCCTCCAAATTTGTTCTTCTTTCTCAGGATCGCTGTTGCTATGTGGGGTCTTTTGTGGTTTCATATAAATTTTTGAAATATTTGCTCTAGTTTTGTGAAATGTCATTGGAATCTTGATAGGAATTGCATTGAATCTATAGATTGTTTTGGGTAGTACAGACATGTTAATGATGTTAATTCTTCTTATCCACAAATATAGTATGTGCTTCCACTTATTTTGATCTTCTATTTCTTTCTTCAGTGTCTTAAAATTTTCTGAGTACAGGTCTTTTACATCTTTTGTTAGGTTTATTCCTAGGTATTTTATTCTTTTTTGTAGCAATTCTGAATGGATTGTTTTAAATTTCCCTTTCCATTAGTTTGTTATAGGCTAATTAAAATCCAACTGATTTCTGGATATTAATTTTTTTATCCTGCTACTTTGCTGAATTCATTTATCAGCTCTAGTAGTTTCTTGGTGGCATCTCTGGGGTTCCCTACATACAGTAGTATAATGTCATCTGCAAATAAGGACAGCTTTACTTCTTCCTTTCAAATTTGGATGGTTATTTCTTCTTCTTGTCTGATTACAGTGGCTAGGACTTCCAGTACTATGTTGACTAAGACACATGAAAGTGGACATCCCTGTCTTGTTTCTGATCTTAAGGGGCATGCTTGTAGTCTTTGCCCATTGAGTATGATGTTGGCAGTGGGTTTGTCATGCATGGCCTTTATTATGTTTAGGTACATTTCCTTTAATCCCATATTACTGAGAGTTTTTATCATAAATGGGTGCTGGATTTTATGAAATGCTTTTACTGCATTTATCGATGTGATCATGTGGTTTTTATCCTTCATTTTGTGAATGTGTACCAACCTTGCTTTCCTGTAATAAATCCCACTTGATCATGGTGTATGATCCTTTTGATGGATTGCTGTGTTTGGTTTGCTAATATTTTGTTGAGGATTTTAGAGTCTATCTTTATGAGGGATATTGGCCTATAATTTTCTGTCTTTGTAGTGTTTTTATCTGGTTTTGGAATGAGGGTTATGCCGGCCTCACAAAATGAGTTTGGGAGCCTTCCCTCCTCTTGAATTTTATGAAATAGTTTGAGAAGGGGAGGTGTTAATTCTTGTCAGGATGTTTGGTGAAATTCCCCTCTGAAGCCATCTAGTCCAGGTCTTTTGTTTCTTGGGAGTTTTTTGATTACTGTTTCAATTTCCCTAGGTGTCATCTGTCTATTCAGAGTCTCTGACTCTTCCTGATTTAGTTTTGGAAGATTGCATATTTCTAGGAACTTATCCATTTCAATCAGGGTGTCCACTTTGTTGGCATATAATTGTTCATAATATTTTACTACAATCCTTTGTTTTTCTTTGGTGTTAGTTGTTATTTCTCCTCTTTCATTTCTGATTGCATTTATTTAGGCGC